CGTCCACATCCCGTGTCCACGTCCCACGTCTCACTTCCATGTACCCGTGTCCCATGTTCACGTCCCACCTCCATGTCCCACCTCCATGTCCCATGTCCACGTCCCACCTCCATGTACCCGTGTCCCACCTCCATGTCCCACCTCCATGTCCCGTGTCCATGTCCCACGTCCATGTCCCGTGTCCACATCCCACATCTCACCTCCATGTACCCGTGTCCCACCTCCATGTCCCACCTCCATGTCCCGTGTCCATGTCCCACCTCCATGTCCCGTGTCCACGTCCCACGTCCCACCTCCATGTCCCGTGTCCTTGTTCATGTCCATGTCCCACGTCCACGTCCCGTGTCCACGTCCCACATCTCACCTCCATGTACCGGTGTCCCATGTCCCATCTCCACGTCTATGTCCATGACCCGTGTCCTGGTCGCATGGCCAACGTCCATGTCCGTGTCCCCCGTCCCATCTCCGTGTCCCCTCCCCATGTCCCGTGGCCTATGTGCGTGTCCCACATCCATGTCCCATGTCCATGGCCAACGTCCATGTCCTTGTTCATGTCCCGTCCTCGTGTCCCCTGTCCTGTGTCCCATGTCCCTGTCTCCTGTCCATGTCCCGTGTCCTGTGTCCTTGTTCATGTCCCGTGTCCCATCCCCATGTCCATGTCCCATGTCCTTGGTCATGTCCCATGTCTGTGTCCCATGTCCGCGTCCTTTGTCCATGTCCCGTGTCCCACCTGTGTCCTTGTTCATGTCCCCTGTCCCATCTCATGTCCCGTGTCCTACGTCCATGTCCCATGTCCATGTCCTATGTCCTGTGTCCATGTCTCATGGCCATGACCAACGTCCATGTCCCATGTCCCATTCTCATGTCCCCTGTCCGCTGCCCCGTGTCCCCTGTCCATATCCTCTGTCCCATGTCCATGTCTCCTGTCCATCCCATGTCCCATGTCCATGTCCCACGTCCTGTGTCCATGTCCCATGTCCCATCTCGGGTCCCATGACCCACGTCCATGTCCCATGTCCATGTCCCGTGTCCCATGTCTCATGTCTCATATCCCATGTCCCATGTCCATGTCCCACGTCCTGTGTCCATGTCCCATGTCCCATCTCGGGTCCCATGACCCACGTCCATGTCCCATGTCCATGTCCCGTGTCCCATGTCTCATGTCTCATGTCCCATGTCCATGTCCTGTGTCTTATGTCCATGTCCCACGTCCATGCCCCATGTCCCACATCCATGTCCATGTCCATGTCCCACGTCCGTGTCCCATGTCCATGTCCCATGTCCCATCTCGGGTCCCATGTCCCACATCCTGTGTCTATGTCCCATGTCCCATCTTGGGTCCCATGTCCCATGTCCGTGTCCTATGTCCTTGTCCCATGTCCTTGTTCATGTCTCATGTCCCGTGTCCATGTCCTATGTCCTGTGTCCATGTCCCACGTCCATGCCCCATGTCCCACGTCCATGTCCCATGTCCATGTCCCATGTCCCATCTTGGGTCCCGTGTCCCACATCCATGTCCCATGTCCATGTCCTGTGTCCCATCTCCATGTCTATGTCCAATGTCACATGTCCACGTCCCGTGTCCACGTCCCGTGTCCTTGTCCACGTCCCACGTCCGTGTCCCGTGTCCCTGGCCCGTGTCCATGTCCCACGTCTCACCTCCATGTACCCGTGTCCCATGTTCACGTCCCACCTCCCCTCCATGTCCCGTGTCCTTGTCCACGTCCATGTCCCATGTCCCCTGTCCCGTGTCCATGTCCTGTGTCCCACGTCCATGTCCCATGTCCATGTCCCATGTGCCATCTCGGGTCCCGTGTCCCACATCCGTGTCCCAC